CAGGGTGTTTCTTGTGATCTCCATGACGACTTGTGGTATGTTACGGATCTAACCCTAGGTCTTGTTCATGAAAACTCGCTTTCCTGCAACGCAAGTTTGAAGATAAAGCCAGAGTTATTCGAGCTTAAGCACTTGAAATCTCTCACATTCTTCAACTGCTTCACATCGCCTACGACAATATCGAAAGAAGATTGGATAAACTTGGGAAGTAACTTAGAATCTCTCGAGTTTAGATCGAACCCCGGTTTGATTGGTGAACTTCCTGAAACAATTGGAAGTCTCACAAAGCTGAAATCTTTGGTGGTTCTTGAAAATGGGTTTAATGGGAAACTACCGACGAATCTCTGCGGTTTATCGAGCTTAAAACGGTTGGTTCTGGCGGGAAACTTGTTCACCGGTACGATACCGAATTGTTTCAATGGGTTTAAAGAACTATTGATCTTGGATTTGAGTCGAAACTCTTTGTCAGGGACATTGCCTTTGTCTATTGGAGAGATGGTTTCATTGCTTAAGCTTGACCTAAGCAATAACCGATTAGAAGGCAAGTTACCTCGAGAATTAGGTTTTTTGAAGAATCTGACACTTTTGGATCTGAGGAACAACAGAATCTCTGGTGGGTTATCGAAAAACGTCGAAAATATTCGATCTTTAACGGATCTTGTTTTATCAGGAAACCCAATGTGTAATAGTAGTGATGATGTTATGGTGAAGATGAAATGGGAGAATATGGGCAATTTGGTAAATTTGGATCTGTCAAAGATGGGTTTAAGAGGTGAGATTCCTTTTGGTTTAACAAAGTTGAAAAGATTGAGGTTTCTTGGTCTGAACGACAACGACTTAACCGGTACAGTCCCATCAAAAGAGCTTGAGACTCTGCCTTGTCTTGGTGCTCTTTACATCAATGGAAACAATCTAACAGGAGAGCTTAGATTCTCAAGAAAGTTCTATGAGAAGATGGGAACAAGATTCAAGGCTTCAAAGAATCCAAATCTTTGTATGTATGAATCTCAAGAATATGTTACTCCACTTGGATTGAAGCCTTGCAAGATGATGATGAAGGGTAATTTGGTAATTAAACAAACGTGGAGCAACCTTAAGAAGGAAGAGTCAAGTTCATCAATGGGTGTGATGGTTACTAGACATGTATTGTCAAATGGGTTTATGTGGGATTTGCTTTTGGAGCTTTCTCTTATTGTATTATTATTGAACTGATTTTTTTTTTCTTTTGGTTAAGTTTGTTTGATGGTTAATAGTCATATCTAATGTGTTTGGTTGATAGATTTTGATGTCGGTTGCTTATGAGAAGAAAATCAAAACCTTTTTGGATGTAACAATTCTGATTTTCTTCGCTCTTTGTCTTAATATAAAAGACAAATTTGTATATGTTTGTAAGGTTTTTTCGTTTTTTTTAATATAACTAACCAAGTTCGGATTGAGAAAAACAAAAATAATTATACACAAAAATAAAATAGTGTATTATCTGTTAGACCTCGTTAAAACCGGATATGATATACTACGAGTTTGAAACCGATTTGGTAAATGCGAACTTGTTTAAACGGAGAGCAAGA